AAACCTTATGATGTGGACTTTCTTGTCTTGGGAGGGTGTGGGGGGGCAGGGAAGGGGGTGTTAAAATAAATCCTCCAAATTCTATAGGGAGTTGACTTTAACATTGCCCAATTGTGCCTACATATGAGCAGTTAGGGAGAACTAAAGAGGGGGGAAAAGAGTAAAATGTTGTATTGTATGATCAGCTGTTACAGTGAAGAGTGCTACATTGTAGTATACATAATAACATTTGTTTTCAATGAATGATGCCTGGTAACTAGGGTAGCGAGGTGCCCGGTTTTCGACTAGAAAATCCAGTCAAAAAGGGGATCTGACAGCGTCCAGTCCAATCTACTGACCGTACAACAAGTCCCGTCACTGAGGGCGGGGAGGCGCCTGGTCACTAATCTGTGCCAGCTCCTACTCAGCTGGGGCCTCCTCCTACCTGCACTGGGTGGCTGCAGCTCCCAGCCCTGGCTTTGCAGGCGGGTCCCTCCTGACCAGGGCAGAGGGGCAGAAAGGGGAAAAGCAGCAAGTGACTGGGGAGGGGGGAAGAGAAGCGAATGGGGGTGGGGCCTTGGGGGAAGAGGTGGGGCAGGGCTCGGGGGGCTAGGGCAGGGTGGTTCCAGCTGGAGTGTCCGATTTTTAAATACAAAGTTGGCAACCCTACTGGTAACTGAACTAATGGGGAGGTTCGCCAAGATTTTTTTTATTCTAATTGCTCTAACTTAGTCTTATTTTTCCTCTATTAAATGTTTGTATTATTACCTAGCAGGTAAGCAGTTAAAATAATTAATTTTGCAAGATGCACATTGAATAGAGCAAAAGGTGGTCCACGGACTGCTTGGTGGTGGGTATGCAGAGAGCTGTCTGGTCTCATGTTGCTGACTTCTCCTTACAACTGCTAAATCACATGAGAGACAACTAAACCTACATTAAATACTTTCCAATTATTACTTTCCCATGTAAGCAGTTGCTGTAGAATGATATGCGCTCCTAAATAGGGATTCTCTGCAATCACGAATGAGTGGGCATTTGATCCCCTAAATGATCTCTGCATTAAAATGTGATTCAAACCATGAAATGGTTCAAGAACCCCCTGAAATAGAGGCCTGAATCTGGCACTCTAGTTACACTCCTGCAGTTGGTGGCTTAGGTGCAACTGAGGGCAGAATCTGGTCAAACAACTCTGTGTAGAATGTTTTCCCCTCTTGCGCAACAAGTACAACAGCAAAAGTAGTTCCCACCCTTGGGAAGGATCCATGTGATAGCAATAGCTCAGTTACAGAGGTCTTCCTGAGCAAATATTGATGATAGGTAGAAGATAAATGCAGAACATCCAACAACGCAAGTAAACAATAGCTACTGAGGATGCAAAACTTTATCAACTTGTGGAGCATGAGGATCATGCTCCACAAGTGCTATGCAGAATAATAGTAGGACCTAGCATTTACATATAGGCTTGGCAGAATTCGATTTTTTTAAATATAATTTTAGCAAATGATGAGTGTATTTTAAGCATTTGAAATTTTTTTATTGATTTACACTTTCACTGTTGTGCAAAATTATGGGTTTTAAGCTTTTTTTGTTTCAGTTTGAATTTTCACAGTTATAGGAAATTGTGGGGGATCAGACAATTATTTAAAGATGGTAGACATTGAGATGCAAAAAGTTAAAGCTTTATAAACCATTAAAACACAAATTTTCAACATCACATGTCAAAATATCCTTAAATCAACAAATCCGACCTGTTTAAATTATTCATTCTCTAGTCCATTTGTAACGAGCCTTATTCAGAAGTCTAAATCACTGGATTTGACCTTAATAAGTTCTCAATCGGCATTTTTCTTACTTTGCCTATCTGTAAACAGCAGTTATTATTGATGGAAATATTTGTTGTTGATTTGTGCTTACCTGTGGTGAAATTGACATTTTCTGACATTTACTGATAAAAATCTAATCCTTCCAAGCCTAGTCATATAGCACTTTATATGTTCAAATGCTGTACAAATGGTAATCAAATAAAACGTTAAGCAGAAAACATTGAACACTGAAGAGGCTTGACAATAAAATTAGATTCTCCCACAGAATACAGTGACAGCTGTTGGGCAATAGGGGTGAGCTCCTATAGAATGCAATGGGAATTAATAGCTAGAGGAGTCATGAGTTTTGGAGGGGTATAGAAATGGGGCATTCTGTATTATTTTTTTGACCAACAGCTCAAAATCTTGAAGGGAGACCAAGAACCAGACCCCTTTTTTGTTGAAATGGATTGTTTTTCCTTCGTTGGAAATGAGACCAGTAAAAGAACCAGGAACCAGTCTTTCTATCTGTCACTTCGTGAAAATTGCACTTGCATGTAGGCAGAAGCACATTGATAGGGTGTGTAAATGACACACTATGGGCTTTCCCCCATCTGGGACTGAGCACATTTGCAAAAAGAGGACTACTCCCCTGCTTAAGAGTCTTCTGCTAAGTGTTTTACTGAATTACCATTATTATATCCTGCTAAAAAACACTCTGCTGTGCTAGTGAAGTGCAGTATCTTTATGTGTGATAAAGAAAGTGCAAAGACTTTATTGAACCTAAAATAAAGTGAAAAAGAAAATCTGGAGCTTCAGCAGGCCATTTGGAACTAACGAAGATAAGTTTTATGTTTTGTCTCCAAAGATATAGGGCCTGTTCCTGGTTCCCTTGAAGTCAATGGGAATCTTGCCATTGGCTTAAATGGGAGCAAGATTGGACCCATAGTGGATAAGTGAATAGTTTGTATGTGAATTTAACCTCCCCCCCCCACCCCAAAAAAGCAATTAATGTTATACTGTGCAAAATGAACAGGTATTTTTCATGCAAGGTTAGTTGTCTTTACTACTACTGTTATTTCTGAAGGTATCTTTTCTGAGTTCAGTTAACATCTTATTTAAATGTTTGTTCCTTGAATCTCTGCTAAAAGCAACCCTATTCTCTCAACACAGATCCTGACAACATACTTCAGATTTATGCCTACCACTAATAAAATATGAAACATTGTTGCTAGTGTGATGACTACTTGAACAGGACTTTTCCAATCCCTTCTTTACCCAAGGAGAGGACTGTTGCAGAGCCATTTACTGTGTCTCTAAACAGAAAGAATATACATACAACCCATAAACATGATGATGTCTTGATGTAGATACTTGTATTTTTGATGCTGCTTTTTGTGGTATCCTGTTGTGTTATGTTGCAACATTCTCATATGTACCATATTTTAAGCTAGTTTGCTATTAAGATTCAATAAAGATTTTTTTTTAAGTGATTGCTGTCAAATGACGAGTTACAGCATGAGCAAAACATCAGAGAGTACAACACAATAAGCAATTGTCCTAGTCCAAGGGGATGTTTTAGAACAGTGATCCCCAACCTTTTCTGTGGGGACTAGCCACCGAGGACCGTGACCGCCGGACAAGCAGCTGCCGAAATGCCGCCGTGAAGCGGCAACGTCAAGAGGCGTCGCTACCGAAATGCCACTGTGAAGCAGTGTCATCAAGAGGCGTCGCTGGCGAATCGGCGGCATTTTGGAGGTAGCGCTTCTTGACATTGCTGCTTCTCGGCGGCATTTCGGTGGGCTGCTTGTCCAGCGGCCAGTAGGTGGGCGCCATGGCGCCTGCGGGCACCGCGTTGGGGACCCCTGTTTAGAATAAATGATAGTAGATCTGAACTCTGTCAAAGAAGTGCAGTACAGATGTCAAATATAATAACTCTTTTATCCAGCATTTGTTAGCCGATTGCCGCTGAAGTGTGTAAATGGGGAGGGGAGAGAAGTGACATTACAGGCACACAGTAAACATTATTTACTATTTGTATTACTGTCATGCCCAGGAGCTCTAGTCATGGACCAAGATCCCATTGTGCAATGGCCATATTATGCCTTTACCTGTAGAGGGGGTGACAAAATTCTGTGAATTTCCTCAATGGCCATGGTTACCCTGAAAATGTAAAATAAGCCTTGGGCCATAGCATATTATTTTGCCAGGAAGTGTAGTGAAGCGGACAGTAGAATAAAACAGATATAGCCTTCAGAGTCTTTACTTCTGCTGAGTAGCCAGATTAAGGTCTGGAAATGCCATGTAAGGATTTTCTGCCCTTCATATTTTAATGGGTTTGAATTGTCTTGCTGACATAAATAAACTTTCCCTGTCACACTGATCTGTCCAGTTTGTGATTACAGTACAGGCTGAGAGTTCATCATTAATATTGTCCATAGGTGATGTTTATTTTTAAAAAAATCCATAATGTGCCTAATCTGTTGTGCTGCTAAATAATAAATAACAATACTGACTCCACAGGTTCTAAACTTGTAGCAGCATTTTCAGGAAGAGGATCCTATGTACAATAACAAATAAGCTCATGGTCCCTCCCTGCCTCACTCTAAGGGGGAATGAAAAGCAGATAACACTGGTCTACAATTTTTGAGAAGTTGTCTGCTTCAGAGATAAAATGAGCTATTTATTATGTATTTTGATGTGCTGAATTCAAATATGACAATTAAAATAACTGATTGACTATTGTTTCTAAGATATTTAAGTTTTTACATTTTATGTCTATGTATATTGTGTAGATAGTAGAGTTTTAATCATGAATTGTAAACCTCGGTCTTTTATGTGTTTATGGTTGCTTTACATGATAATATTTCACCTGTCCTGTTTATGTAACACTTTAAAAATCAGCAAAAGGGTTATATAAATAAAATTTATTATGACACAAAAGGCAAAAAACTATTCTGTACATAGTTTAGTCCTATTCAGTGTCTACTCGGCGCTTCTTGGCTTGTCTCTTATATTCATTAAATGGAGCATCTCTTGTCACTGTCCAGCAATAGTCTGCAAGCATTGATGGGCTCCATTTGCCCTGATAGCGTTTCTCCATTGTTGCAATGTCCTGGTGAAATCGCTCGCCGTGCTCGTCGCTCACTGCTCCGCAGTTCGGTGGAAAAAAATCTAGAGGAGAGTGCAAAAAATGTATCTTTAGTGACATGTTGCAACCAAGGCTTTTGTATGCCTTGAGGAGGTTTTCCACCAACAACCTGTAGTTGTCTGCCTTGTTGTTTCCGAGAAAATGTATTGCCACTACCTGGAAGGCTTTCCATGCCGTCTTTTCCTTGCCACGCAGTGCATGGTCAAATGCATCATCTCGAAGAAGTTCACGAATCTGAGGACCAACAAAGACACCTTCCTTTATCTTAGCTTCACTTATCCTTGGAAATTTTCCACGGAGGTACTTGAAAGCTGCTTGTGTTTTGTCAATGGCCTTGACAAAGTTCTTCATCAGACCCAGCTTGGTGTGTAAGGGTGGTAACAAAATCTTCCTTGATTCAACAAGTGGTGGACGCTGAACACTTTTCCTCCCAGGCTCCAATGACTGTCGGAGTCGGAGTGGCCAATCTTTCTTGATGTAGTGGGAATCTCTTGCACGACTATCCCATTCGCAGAGAAAACAGCAGTACTTTGTGTATCCAGTCTGCAGACCAAGCAAGAGAGCAACAACCTTCAAATCGCCACAAAGCTGCCACTGATGTTGGTCATAGTTTATGCACCTCAAAAGTTGTTTCATGTTGTCATAGGTTTCCTTCATATGAACTGCATGACCAACTGGAATTGATGGCAAAACATTGCCATTATGCAGTAAAACAGCTTTAAGACTCGTCTTGGATGAATCAATGAACAGTCTCCACTCATCTGGATCGTGAACGATGTTGAGGGCTGCCATCACACCATCGATGTTGTTGCAGGCTACAAGATCACCTTCCATGAAGAAGAATGGGACAAGATCCTTTTGACAGTCACAGAACATGGAAACCCTAACATCACCTGCCAGGAGATTCCACTGCTGTAGTCTGGAGCCCAACAGCTCTGCCTTACTCTTGGGTAGTTCCAAATCCCTGACAAGGTCATTCAGTTCACCTTGTGTTATGAGGTGTGGTTCAGAGGAGGAGGATGGGAGAAAATGTGGGTCCTGTGACATTGATGGTTCAGGACCAGAAGTTTCATCCTCTTCCTCTTCCTCGTCTGACTCAAGTGAGAATGATTCTGGTGCATCATGAACCGCCAGTCCTTCTCCGTGGGGTACTGGGCGTATAGCTGATGGAATGTTTGGATAATGCACAGTCCACTTTTTCTTCTTTGACACACCTTTCCCAACTGGAGGCACCATGCAGAAGTAACAATTGCTGGTATGATCTGTTGGCTCTCTCCAAATCATTGGCACTGCAAAAGGCATAGATATCCTTTTCCTGTTCAACCACTGGCGAAGATTTGTTGCACAAATGTTTCAGCGTATGTGTGGGGCCTGCCTCTTGTCCTGATCTCCAATTTTGCTGCCAAAATAAAGGTGATAGGCTTTCTTAACCATAGTGGTTATACTGCGCTTTTGTGATGCAAAAGTCACTTCACCACAAACATAGCAGAAGTTATCTGCACTGTTCACACAAGTACGAGGCATCTCTGCTCACTTTGGCTAAACAGAAATGTGTCCCTTAGCAAAATCAAACACTGACAAATAAGAGAGCACGACACTGTATGATTTCTAGAGTTGATATAGGGCAATTTGTTCAGCAGAGTGATGTAAGCTTCGTTATGATTGCATCATCCATGACTTCTAGGAATAACATGATGCAATTCATATCATGTATGACGCAATACCAGCTTCAGATTGCACCATTCATTGTTTTGCCTAAAAAGCAAGTACTGTCCAAACCCGGTCATAGATTTATTCATAGATCCAGTCAAAGATGTATTTTAATCATTTCTGGTTTAAATTGAGATCCCTTCCCTTTATAACTCACTTATCCTCCGCCATTCCCAAGTCAAGGGTCGTATATACTGACCCAATAGCATATCTTGAAAACTAGAGCCAATCAACAATTTTAAGCATCATTTTCGTTCTCAGTGACCCAGAATTAGTAAAGTTTGACTACATTTATTTCAGAAGCATTTTGGCTGTAGAGCAGTGTAACAACTCTACCTCTATTTGTTGTTCCTCTGTTGTGCGAGTAAAACAATGAGCAGTAGATACCTATGTCCTGCTAAATTTGGGTTGGGCTGGTGCCATCTTCACATTTAAACATTGTCAGGGAGAATGCGAGCTGCATACACATAGCTGAGGTTCCTGCCCCTGGATTCGGTTCATCCATGTTTGGCTGGTGGTGGGACTGGCTAAATGCCCAAAGTTGTTAGTCTCTAAGGTGCCACAAGGACTCGTTGTTGTTTTTGCTGATACAGACTAACACGGCTGCCCCTCTGAAAGCTGGCTAGATTGAGACTCCACTGCAAACGGATCCTGACTCTTGCCCTAGCTGGAGCACCGGCCACATGGGGCACTGCTGCTGATCCCTGTGGGACCCCTTTGTTTGCTTCCCCCGTGCAATCTTTGTACATATCCACATTTCCACAACCGATCTAGAGTTGTGCATCCACAGCCTCTTGTCTCTGCAGGCGTTCACAAACAGCCCTCACTGCTGGACATTGTGGGACAGCTGCTGGAGGACTGTGAGGGGGTCTACACTCACACTTCATTGACCAGAGCCGGTCAGTTGAACATGGCTCCACTTCCTTCCGGTCCCTGCCTGGTGTTATTGTGTCCTCACAATGGGGCACTTACAGCAGCGGGAGCCAGTGTAGACACAGGCACGTGGCGTCACAAAGGCCTCCCGGAGGGCGTTGGTTCGGTCCGACAGCCGGGCGGGGGCCCGTGGAACGAGCCCAGACACGGGACTCTGCCCAGCCCGGAGCGGGAGCGGAGCTCGGCCGGGCCGGGCCCGCCGGAGAAGCCCCGCCCGGGGGGGCCATGGCCGAGCGGGCCGCTGCCCAGGTAAGGGCCCGGCGGGGGCTGAGCCCCGGGGCGGGGGCGGCTCCGGCTGGGCCGTTTGCAGCTGAGCAAGGACCGGGACTTTGCTGCTCCCCAGCCGCAGGGATCGGCCCGCAGCGACCGTGCCCGGCGCATGGAGAAATCTGCGGTTTGTAACCCCGCCCCAGGGCTTTAGGGTGCGCGGGACGCAGCGGTGCGGGCGGGAATCAATAATCGCTGACTAGTGTAGAGCCCGGCGGCCGGGCACAGCTGGCAGGGCCGTGGGCCTGGCACGTTTCCCTCTCTCCTCTGGAAAAGGATCTGCCGTGGGGCGCTGGAACAGTTTGTCTAGTGGGGATGCTGAGAGCCATTGAACTAAACGGTGTAACCCCTGTATAGAACGGAAAGCGCTTGAAGGCAGGGGGTGCGGCAGCACCCCTAGTTCCAGCACCTGTGGATCTCTGTGTAGACTTTGTCCCTTAGCTGGAACCTTCCCAGAGATTTACCAGAAATCTCTTTCTTCTGCTCCTTTAAAGCTGCAGAGGGACAGCATGGGGAAGAGTCTGGGTGCAGTCTATTCACTTCCAATGGTGGAAAAGTAGATTTGGATTTTACATTTCAGCTTTGCTATTGGATCCTGGCTGGGTTACTATAAACCAAGCGTGACCTGGGTCTTCCGCTGACCAATTTATTATTTTTTTTGAAGTGTTCTCAGATCAGGGTCAGTACTTCCAGAGAGCACTGATTAACTGTGCCAAAGAATTAACAACATTCTTTGGAAGAGAGCTCTGGATTCTTTTGGGTTCCGTCTCCCATTCTAAACCTTAAAACAACAATATTACCTAAATAGTTAGACAAATACAACGCTTATTTTCACTGATGTTGCATTGGGTATGTGGGACTCTCAGGCAGAAAACAGTGAGTGAAAACATGTTTTTTTTTTTTTATAGAACTGGAAGGGACCCTGAAAGGTCATCGAGTCCAGCCCCCTGCCTTCACTAGCAGGACCAAGTACTGATTTTGCCCCAGATCCCTAAGTGGCCCCCTCAAGGATTGAACTCACAACCCTGGGTTTAGCAGGCCAATGCTCAAACCACTGAGCTATCCCTCCCCCCAACATGTTGTTGTACTTGATACAGATGTTCCAGAGAAGGGGCTATTGACTTTCAAACCTGCTTAAACTATTGCAAAATAAAACATACTCACTAGTGCAGACAAAATAGTGATGTCTGAAAGGTCTGCTTTAGAAAATGGGGCCGCATTTGTCAGCCAGAGGAGGGTCCAGATGTATCTGAAACTTCTTATGCGACTGACATGTGCCCTTTCTAGAACCCAGAAAACATCAGAATTTATTTTAATGGGTTGGAATGGTATTACAGATGGAGTTGAGGTTTTCATGCTTGTCAAATCCCAGGCTGATACAGTTTAGTCAGCAATTATATACTGTTAAAAATTATCCCAATAACAAAAATGTCAACAGACCAGGTCTCCTCAAGAGAGTGACTCCTTTAGAATAAAGATCCAGCCCCAGAAAGCACCAAGTACCCTTGCAGCATGTGAGCAGCCCGTATGCTGTTTGTCTGTCTAGCTGACAGTCTGCCAAATCAGCGGGTGACGCCAACTCCATGTTTCTATTCTGCCCTTTCAAACAGGCTCCTGAATGGGACGTGGCATCACAGCATCTAACTCATTTACAGCTTCCTACGGTGCCTGAAAGAATTTATGTGAGAGGCTCAGATCAAGCTGCAGAGAGATCCTTGACTGTAGTGGCTGCAGTTCAAACCATGGAGGGGAAGGTTGATTCATTTCCCTCCCGACTGGTGAATCTGGAGGGGAGAACAGGGTCGGCTGAGAAGAAATTAGTCAACTGTGAGAAAATAGTTGGGGAGTTTGGTAATCAGCTGGCCGCGCTGGGAACTCTGATCCAGGAGTACGGGGTACTGCAGAGGAGGCTGGAGAACATGGAGAACCTGCTGAAGAACAGGAACTTCTGGATCCTGAGACTCCCCCCAGGCACGAAGGGAGAAGTCCCCAAGGTAACGATATCCCAGCTGGTGCTGAGGGGCAGAAGCAAATCTTGGTGTCATATAGTCATAGAAATGGGAAAGTTCTTCAAGTGATGGTCCCTATTGTATTCCACTGAGGGCTATGCATGTGCATCATGCACTCGGAACTGGAGAATTTGAAAGTAGTGTCCACTGGTCCACACATGTGCCCTGGCTCACCACGCACCTCTGTCCGAGTGGATAAAGGGCGGAGGAGACCGACTGTCTCTCCAGTTCCTTGTCACCGCTGCATGGTCTGGGTCAGAACCTCCAGTGTCTGTACTTTTGGCTTATAAAACAAGAAATAGATGTAGCTTTTAAATAGTTTTTACTGTTTTTAGTTTATAGTTTAGTGTTTTACAGATCTCTTAGTGTTTAGATTTTGTCTCTTTGGGGGAATCCCGCCCCCCCCCCCCCCCGGTACCCTGTTTGGGTGCCAGACTATGCCTTGGACTCTGGGCTTCAAACTCTGGGCTTCCCTGCCGAAGATCCTTCTTGGACAGTGACGACCACTCGTGCTGCCTGGACTGCCTTGGGGAAGCCCAGATCACGGTGAGGTGTAGTATCTGCTGATTGTTCCCCAGCCATGCCCAAGATGGACAGGAACTTTGTCTCTGCAAATACCTCATGGAGAAGGCCATGAGGCCCCAGTCAGACCCAGGCTGGGGAACCCGCACTATCATCCTTAGAATGTTCATGCACCACAGCCATGCAAGACATCCTTCCTAATAGTAGACAAGACTCTACTAGAAGATGTTACCTAGCTAAATGGAAGCGCTTTTCTTCTTGGGAATGCCAAAGGAGCATTCTCCCAGAAACTACAGATATTCCTCTCATCTTGGACTATATCCTCTCTCTGAAGACATCAGACCTGTCCATCTGTTCCTTGTGAGTCCACTTGTTGGCAATCAGCACATACCATCCACCTTCTCAGGCCTACTCAGTCTTCGCACTTCTACTGACCACTAGATTCTGGAAAGGCTTAATCAGAACCTTCCTGCCTATTCAGAAGCCTGCTCCCCAGTTGGACCTGAACATTGTTCTGTCAGTATTCACAAGCCCCCTCCCCCTCTTTGAAGCTTTAGCTTCCTGTTCCATGTCTCCTTTCCATGAAGGTCACTTTCCTAATAGCCATCTCCTCAGCTAGAAGGGTTGGCGAGCTTGGAGCGATGATGGCAGTTCCTTCTTGCACTGTATTCCATAAAGATAAGGTTTCTTTGCGTCTACACCCCAACTATACATACAATATGATTGGGGCTAATTTAGCTACAACTAATCAGGAAAGAGATCTTGGAGTCATCATGGATAGTTCTCTGAAGACGTCCCCGCAGTGTGCAGTGGCAGTCAAAAAAGCAAACAGGATGTTAGGAATCATTAAAAAGGGATAGAGAATAAGACGGAGAGTATCTTATTGCCCTTATATAAATCCATGGTACGCCCACATCTTGAATACTGCGTACAGATGTGGTCTCCTCATCTCAAAAAAGATATATTGGCACTAGAAAAAGTTCAGAGAAGGGCAACTAAAATGATTAGGGGTTTGGAAGGGGTCCCATATGAGGAGAGATTAAAGAGGCTAGGACTTTTCAGCTTGGAAAAGAGGAGACTAAAGGGGGATATGATAGAGGTATATAAAATCATGAGTGATGTGGAGAAAGTGAATAAGGAAAAGTTATTTACTTGTTCCCGTAATATAAGAACTAGGGGCCACCAAATGAAATTAATGGGCAGCAGGTTTAAAACAAATAAAAGGAATTTCTTCTTCACACAGTGTACAGTCAACTTGTGGAACTCCTTGCCTGAGGAGGTTGTGAAGGCTAGGACTATAACAGGGTTTAAAAGAGAACTGGATAAATTAATGGAGATTAAGTCCATTAATGGCTGTTAGCCAGGATGGGTAAGGAATGGTGTCCCCAGTGTGACAGATTTCTGTTACCAATCTGCCTGGGGCATCAGGTGATTGGGCTGAGGCTGCAGGATCTTTAGGGGAGGAGATGAAGGAACACACCTAGTGACTAAATTTTAAAGCTTTATTAATAAAATAACAGCGGTGAGTGCGGGGTGCTCCCCATGTCACTCAGAGGAAGGAAAAAAGCGTTAGTGCCCGTGCCCTAACCCACTTTCATACTCTCTCACACACAATCAAGGGCTGGCCAAGCCCAGGTATAACGTAAGAAGAAGAGGGGGAAGGGTGGACGAGAGTTCTATCCTGTGCACAGGTCATCCAGGGTCCGCTGTTGGTCTCCGATTTGCTTCAGCTCTTAGGAGGGTTTTAAGTCCTGGGGTCTTTTGTGGGCGTTTTGTTCAGGGACCTTTGTCCCCCATGCTCTTTGTACCAGTCCAAACCGGCTTTCTGTGGCCTCCTTAGCTTTCCCCAAAACACACCGGCTTCAGGGACGCAAAACTTGTTTTCCCCCTCGCTGGCCTTCGCCGTCTCACTAGCTTTTTTGCCATCCCCTGCAGTCTTGTTCAGTTTACTGCTCTGTTCTCACGGCTGTTCGGGGTTGGAATCCAGGCCCCTGTCTTTCTTGGGGCAGCCGAGAGTCGGTTGTGTGCCGTGGCCTTGGGCTGGAGTCCGTGTCTTATCTTTGGACGTAGCTGGAGGGTCGAGTTAACCCATTCTCTTCTCCCTCCCTCCCTCTTCGGCCTCTTGCAACCTGCAAAGGAACCTTTCACTCCACACTCACACCTTTGACCCTTCCCAAAATGCTTTGCAATGCCTGCACCAGCGTTAGCAACAAACAATGCTGATCTGCCTCCCCAGGGGACCCCCTGAGGGAGGGGGCCATTGGGGTTGTGACACTAGCCTCTGTTTGTCAGAGGGTGGAGATGGATGGCAGGAGAGAGATCACTTGATCGTTACCTGTTAGGTTCACTCCCTCTGGGGCACCTGGTATTGGCCACTGTCGGTAGACAGGATACTGGGCTGGATGGACCTTTGGTCTGACCCAGTATGGCCGTTCTTATTATGTTCTTATGAGAGATGGTCGGTCGGCCTTGCCCTTTATCCCCTCGGACGGAGGCACAAGCTGAGTCAGGGCAGACCAGTGGATACTATCCTTAAATTCTCTGGCTCTTGGTGCATGGTGCACATGGGTAACCCGCAGTGGAAAGCAGATAGGGACCGCACATCTTGAAGACTCTCTAGTTACAGGTCAGTAACTCCCATTTCCTTTATTAGTTCATATTGTCAATCCCTTTGCCAACGTAAAGAGTCTTAAGTACCTATGAGAGGTAGATCCTTTAATGAACAACTACCTCAAAATAGGACTTGAGGGATAACTAGATTTCCTTCTGGGTGTGCAATAGTGCCCTGGATTTGAAATTCATAAGAAAATATTATGTGCCACTGATAAGTGAAATTTAAAAAAAAAAATCTCTCTCCTGTGAAAGGATACTTGACGCGCACTCCACACACTTGCTCAATGAGGAGGCTAAATTGAGTATGGTGGTTTTGGCATTTCTGATTGGGACATTTGTTAAAAAGATACAGGGCAGAAACCAGAGATTTTTTTCATTGGCTACTAACGAGACACCAGAAAATAAAAATTATTTTCAGGCATTACCAACCTCTACCGCTACCTTTGATCTAAAGTCACGGGATGCAGGTGTCCGGAAACAACTGCAGCTGACGGTGCTGAATGTGTCACATTTGTGATTTCAGGTCCCAGTGACGTTTGATGAGATCTCAGTCTATTTCAATGAGCAGGAATGGGGGAATTTAGATGAATGGCAGAAGGAGCTTTACAAGAATGTGGTGAAGAGCAACTATGAGACTTTGCTCTCACTGGGTAATGATGTATTTTCATTCATTTATCAGAAGTTCCACGATCAGTGCTTTTTACATTTCCCGTGGTTTTGGGTAGATCAGCATTCACTTAGAACTTTTGTGACTGGTCCACTTTACACAGCCCCCATTTAAAGAGACTAAAAATACCCAAGGATGGGTTTAATACTTTAGTGTCCAGTATCAAAGTACTAGCTATATTTTTCTTGTATTTAACTGATACACGCAGAGATTGGACAGAAAAATCTCTCTCTACCTGCTCAGAACCAGACGAGATTAAATAAACAGCCCCCCGTATATGTGGATATTTCTGAATCAGCTGCAGGGTCCAAAACTGATCTTCTACCAGATGTTTTATGTTTTTTTTTACTATTTTGTCTACACTCAAATTGCCAATCATCTCTGGTGATGGAAGGGGATTGGTTTAACGTAATTCTCAGTCCTTTGACATTGTAGCAAGTACTCAGTGGCTATTAATGAAGCATAATGATCCCTGGTGTCTGTTTCCATGATCAGACTATGCAATTTCCAAACCTGACATTCTGTCCAGGATTGAACAAGGGGAAGAGCCATGTGTCAGGGATCAAGGGGACCCAGAGGAAAGGGAAGTGTCTACAGACACCAAGACAGGTGAGCGGTGACTGATTATGTAGGGCTGTGAAGGAATGATGTTGTTTATGTATGGCACAGGGATATCCATATCCTAGAACAGAGGTGGGCAAACTACGGCCCATGGGCCACATCCGGCCCGTGGGACCCTCCTGCCTGGCCCCTGAGCTCCTGGCCCGGGAGGCTAG